ACCGTGCCCCGGGCAGCATCGGCGATGATCTGCTGCAGGCGTGCTCTGCCGCACGTGCAGGCACTGTAAATTGCTCACCTCCTTGGATTTCAGGGATCTCGGAGGAACACCTGCCCCCTCCAGCACCCCTGCTGAATCGCTCCACTCGTTCAAGGGCTAGTGCCCAGAAGCAGCTCCGGGCAGAGCGGATGGGGAAGGGGCATTGGGGAAGAGTGCAAGGCCAAACTGCAAAAACGGAGCAGTTATAAAATATCTATTTGAAATATCAAATCCAATCTGTCAGAATGCAGAAGCTCTGAGTTTTTCCTGCAGAGTAAAAGAACAGCTTACAATAAAAATACATTTTATGAGCTGTCCACTAAGCCGGTTACGTTTTCCCAGAGCTTAGCAAAGCACTTGTAGTGGAAACGCCGCTTCTGATCTTATTATCCTTCCCTGCGGTGCATGTTATTAACTTTCTGTTTTATTTACAGCGTTGCCATTTGCTTTTACGATACATCCATTAACTTCATTGGAGTGAACATTGCTTGATGCACACAACCAACGCCCGGTGCTGCCATAATCTTTAACGCACCTTGCCAGCTGTTGTGGGTTTGCATACGTCTTTACGCAGGAGGAGGGAGGACAGACGCAGCTGGAAGATGTCATTTGAAGAAGGGAACAAAAAACATACCTCCCAATTTGAGACTTTAAAAAAAAAAGAAAAGCGAACCAGGGCAAAGGCAATTGTGTTTCCCCATGGGAGTGCTGCGTTAGAGCAGTTCACATCGCTCTCGTGCCACCAGCGGGAGAGAAGATAAAGCACGGCCAGACTCGACCTGAGTTGGGCTTGAAGAACTCACGAGGTTGTTAGCAGAGAGAGATAGGTACTTGTGGGCTTACCTGTCTTTCCTGGGATGCCTACAACTATATATCCCTAGGATAAACCGTTCAGAAATCCCATGGGTGTGCTGAACTCTCACTGTAGCAAGCGATGAGGCTCCTACACATATAGGAAATGCTGGACTACCACCAGGTTAAGTCCCTCTTACCCGTCTTTCCCTCGGTTATGGATCGCCAGCTCCTCCACAATCCCCTCCTCCTCCTTGAAGTTCTCCCAGTCCAGTTTAGATTTCTCCAGTGTGCTCATCTTCTGCTTTTTGGAGCCAATCTTCCCCAGGAGGCTGCTCATGCCACTTGGCCTCTTCACCCTGATGGAGATAAGGGAGCAATGCGTTACTTAAATGCAGGGAGAGAGCGTCAGTGAGCAATTAAAAACGGAGCTGATAAACATCACGCAGGAGAGCGGTGGCCTTGACGGTGGCGGGCCACCTCCGCTAAGCAGATGGCCACCAGCTCCAGGCGGCCTGCAGGCAGCAAGGTCACGCTTCCTGCAGATCCCGCTCCGCCGTTCCCCTGGAAGCAGCAGAGTTCATTACACACATATCTCAAGTGCTCGCTTTTTGTGAAAGGGCTTTTTCATTTATCTTCTCAAGAGAACAGAAAGCTTTCAGGCCAAAAGAGATCATTAAATCATCTCGTTTGACCCCTTGTATATACCAGGCCAAGCCATTCCACTGATCACCTCCGTGCTAAGCCCGGTTCTTTGTCTTCAGTTTAAAGTGTTGTTTTCTGGAAGGGATCCAGCCTCAGTGCGTCACCAGCGCCGACAACACATCCAGGAATTAACCATTTCGTTGTCGTCAACACGCCTGTTTCCAACTTGATTTGCTCGAGCTTTAGGTTCCGGCTGCCGCTGCTTATTCTAAATCTGACAGTGCTTTGGTGCCCAGGCTGGTCTCATTAGTAACGTCCTCGTACGCCGTAACCAACTCACATCTCAATTATTTTTTTGACAAACAGATGGAGCCCTTTATGCCTCTCACTGAAATGCATTTTAACCCAGCCTGTATGTCATTTCTAAGGTTTTATCCCCCTGCTTACGTCTCAACGGCCTTTGAAGACGGGGCCACCACAACCGCGTGTCACCCCCACCCTTCCGATCCCAAATCCGTCTCTGTCCGAGCATCACCACTAGTTACCTCACCCCGCGACACGTTGAGTCCCAGTTCATGCACACAGCGATCCTACACCACCTCTCAGGCCCCAGGAAGACCATGTTGGTCTTTCATCTCCTTGTTCTGAAATCCCACCCGCATGGCAGGGCCCCGAATCTCCCCTTTACGCTGGGAAACGCACACACAGGGACTCGGGTCAGCCGGGTCGCCCTCTGAGGAAGACAATTCTCAGGGCTAGGAACCCATCAAACAAACTCCTATTAGCCCCTTCTTAACTCCCCCAGGAGAGGGGGGCAAACAGCATCCCATTGAACTCCATGTTTACACACATTCCAGAGATAACTTCGGGTCTGCAGGGCCTTTGCCTCTGCAAGACGCTGGAGAGGAAATGATTCTCGTTCCTGTGAGATGGAGGAATTTGGGAAGGGGGTGCCCCAAGGAAGGCAGCCAGGTGAGCGTGGCAGACTGCTCTCCAACAGGACTCTCTTCCCAGCACCTCCTGCCCAGGGGTAGCCGTTCTTGGGAACGCATCCAAAGCTGTCCTTATCGGATCATTAGTGTGGTTTATGCTTCTGTAATTTGCAAGCCTCTAAAGGAAAATAATCCTGCAGTTTATATGGAATTAAATGAAAGAAAATGACATCTCTGTAAGCCTCAGCCAGAAGATTCTCAGTGCAGGAATGGCTGGCCATGATCACTTGGGATTGCAGCTTCCTGATATAGATATACCAGGGCGACAAACCCTGGATTAAGGGCATTTTGGCCGGCTCCACAGCCACTGGGCAAAGCTTCCTGCCCTTCCTCATACTGCCTGCCCAGAGGAGCAGCAGTGTCCTAGGGCCTGGCCCTCTTATTTCATTCTGTCCCTGCCCACTGCCGGAGAATGGCCAGCAGCCAGCACTTCTCACTCTGCGGGGACACGGAGCCAGCTGGATGCTCTCTGGTTCACCTTTACCCCTGAACGTCTCACCAAGATGCCTACAGCCCCTTCACATCACGACCGCACAATAAAACCTTGATCCTCGCTCAGCCCTTATTTTTCAAGACACGGTGGCTCCAAGTATCCGTGTCTGCGGGTACCAGGCAAGTGGTGCGAGGGGCACGGTGTGCAAAGATGTTCTTGGCACAAGATAAAACTGGAGAGATTCGGTTCCCACATCTGGCTTCCCAGGACGACACGTGAGCCTTGCACAGCCACCAAACCCAGATTTGGATGCGTGTTCAGGTTGTGAGGGAGGGGGAGGAAGGGAGATATATGACAAGGAAGAAGGCAAAACCAAACAAAAGCTTGGGCAAGCATTCCCCGTGGCAGTCCCTGCTGAGCAGCTGCCTGGAAAGCGGAGCCTGGGACTCGTGCGCAGCAGTTTCTTGCACTGTGCGGGGAGGCCTTGGGTTTTAGCAGGGGACTGAAAGTAAAGATGCCCCGAGACAGATGTAGAGAAGTGTCTAGGGAAGTCTGCTCCAGCTGGCAACGCTCCTCTCCCCCGCGCCTGGCAGGCAGAAGGTGTTTAAATTAACACAGGGTATTCAGTAACACACTTCTCTAACTGCACTTCACTTTCCAGACACACTTGTGTGTACAGTTCTGCCTGCCTTTGAAGTGGGAGAAGCAGGGTTGCAGAAACGGAGGGTGTTGCCCCTTGTCCCTACATGTCTCCAAAGTGCTTTCTGGGATAAGAACCCTGATGGCTTAACAGCCATCTCACCCGTCCAAGAGCACTCAACTTATGTTGGGAGCCCCACAGCTGGATGCAGCACTCCAGGTGGGGTCTCAGGAGAGCAGAGTAGAGGGGGAGAATCCCCTCCCTCGCCCTGTTGGCCACGCTGCTCTGGATACAGCCCAGGATACGGTTGGCTTTCTGGACTTTGAAGAATACCTCCAAGTCAGCGGTCCCCTCAAGGCAAGGGAACCTATGGAAACAGGGCAGGCTGTGTTGCACCCTTGTGTTGGCGACTGCTCCAAAATTACTGCAAATATCCGGTGTCGGCCCCGTGCTGGAGGCTGGCTCTGGGCTGGATGACCTGGCTCTGCTCCTGCCTGGACAATTCTGTGCTGCTTGCAGAGGGACCAAGCCTGTGCCAGACAATGAGACCGAGGCGCGGGCCGAAGGACGTGTTTGAGTCTGCTGCTGAGTCTTCGCCCCGCGCTGAGCCTTTCATCACCCTGAATAAATCCAAGAGTGAACCTGGGGGTGGGAATTCCTATGCCGGTGCCAAAATGAAGTAAATGAGAGACATTAAAGTCCAATTAAAAACTTGCTTGGCCTTAAATGCCTCATCTGTTTAAAAAGCAAGTAAAGGGGCCTGATTAATTGCATTCAGTGCCAACAAGAGGAATTATTACCCTTTTTGTACTCATTAAGGGTATCTGCTGTGGCATCTTTAATCACTAAGGCATTTAAAAGAGAGAAAGTAATTTGCTAAGACATAATGGATCCTGGGGATGAGAACCAGGACAATCGCCTATTTAGGACACAAAGACACGCTCTTACTTTCCACAATTAAAAATCATGGCCCCAGTCAGCCCCCGAACCAGGAAATAAACACGCTGGCGAGCTCTGCCTTGGCGGGAGGATTCCCTTGCACCCATCTAGTGTCTCCAGGACAGGGACCGTGCCTGTGCATCACCCGGCACTGTCACACACAGGGACAGACAGCAAGCCAAGGGCTTCCTTGCTGTCCCACCACGGGCCAACACGCTCTGTATTCCTGTCCTCACCGACCAGGCTTCCTCTCACCTCAGCATGAGCCCGCAGCCCGGCCAGGACCTCGGAGAATTGCTGCTACACCAGTGCTAAAGTGGCACTGTCACACGTAGTCCTTGCTGTCCTGTAACACGAAGGTTGGCAGCGTCTGGGAAATGCGTGCCTGCTTCCAAAGAGGCAGGCTTCATCATAAGCTTTATAAAATAACTTTCAAGTGGTTAACAGGGCTAGGAAGGGCTCGTAGTGCACCCTGCCAGCCTGAGCCCGATGAGTTCCTCTCCCTCCTACCCAGGGATGGGTGCTCTCAGGGCCTCCTGACACCACCCCCACACTCACTAGAGGTTTCGGTACCTCACCAGCCTTTCACTTCTCTAAGTTTTCCCCAATGACTACATGTCCTTGCTCAGCCTATGACTTGTTATCTTCTTCCTAGTAGCTCTAAGAACAGATCATTCCCTCACTTTACGCAGCAGCCTTTTATGTCTTTGAAAGCTTTTCATATCCATGCCCCCCCCCACTCAGCATGCTCTTTCCTAGACTAAACAATCCCGAGTCCTTTCAAGCGCTTCTCATTCCTCACGGTTTCCAGCCCTCTGACCACTCTCCCCAGACTTTCTGCTATTGGCCCACATCTTCCTCAAAACGCAGCATCCAAAACGGGAAAGAAAGGGCTCCAGCCACGGCTTTACCGGCACCGGGAGCAGGAGGAATACTTCAGATGCCTGGCGAAGCATGCAACTCCTTACACGGCCTCCTATGACGTGTGCCTTTTTCACAGCCGTGTGACAGCGTTGACTCACGTCGAGCCTGTGATTCACTGAGATTTTTGTCTGCTCCGCTGCTGCCAAGGCAGTTACTTCCTTCCTCGACTGGTGCGGATGATGACTGCAACCCCAAGGCAGAGCTTTGCCCTGGTCCTTCTGCGCTGTTCCTCCTGTTTGCCCTCACGTTTCCCTCGACAAAGCAGATCTCAGATGTTTTTCCAAACCAGCTTCTCCTATTCACAGCACCCGTGCTGCAGCTGTTGAAGAGTAACACGGGGGAAAGTACCTCCCGCCTTCGTGAAACACCAATGGAGACAGTTTAGCAGCTGAACCAGCACCAGTTGGCCAAAGCAGATCAAGCAAAGGCCAGGAGTAGGCAGGGACCAGCAAGGTCAGGCTGCAGGAGCTGTGACAGTTTGTGCCGTCTGGCTCCGGTAAACGAAGGCTGCCCGAAAGACACCTACCCACGTGCTGATCAAGGAGCCAGCAGCGTCCCCAGCTCCAGCCTCGGGGATCACAAATCCTTCGCTGGCCCTACGGGAGCGTGCGGATTGCAGACCCTGCACTGCTGCTCTGTCCTCTTCCTCACTGTGGCTGGCAACAACCGCTGTAGCAGGACGGTCCTACTTCTGTCTTCTACCAACACTTTTAAGAAGAGCTTGATTTGTAAGAAGCAAATGTTGAACACAAACCAGGATGTTACTGATGCTTAGCTATCACCCCA